ACCTGTTCATCCTAACAGTGTGTGTTCTCTGAGGGTCTCCTGTTTCTACCTGTTCACCCGAACAGTGTGTGTTCTCTGAGGGTCTCCTGTTTCTATCTGTTCATCCTAACAGTGTGTGTTCTCTGAGGGTCTCCTGTTTCTACCTGTTCATCCTAACAGTGTGTGTTCTCTGAGGGTCTCCATGCACCATGCACAACACAAGGCCCGGAGGATACAGCAATAAACTGGACAGCCGGGCCCCTGGTCTTTGCCTGCTAGAAAAACTCTATTAACGTTTTAATAAGGAAAATTCTTTTACATATTAAAAGCAGGGCTATTTGGGTTCTTAAAGCAATGATAGACCAGAAGCTGTCCCTTACTTGTTGTGAAAATCCCGCGAGCTGGCCGGTGCTCATGTGTTCATCTAACTGCTGCAGGATGATCTGAGGGTCGCACGAGCCCAGAAAATTCTAGAGAAAAAGCAGAACATGATTAACGGGAAAGTATGACTACAGCTGGGCGTTTCTCATACTTGGAAGGTTTTCATTTTCTTATTTAAGGTATCATTAAAGCCTTTCTAACACAGGGAAAAACCAAGACCAACAGAAATTACTAAAATAATGACAAAGTGTTTTACAATATTCATTCCAAAAGCAAAAACTATTTATCGGTCATTTTGATGTTCTAAGTGGCAAAAAAAAAAAAAAATACAAAACCAAACTACGTAAATTCTGGAACCATCTTTGAAAACCACCAATGAATGTGTCTGAACATAGTCAAGGAAAAAAGTTAAGTCAGAGACAAGCACAGATGGTTCTGGAAAAGAAACAGGTCAAAAGGGAAATACACATTGTGTGTTCACTTATTCAGCGTGTCATTTACTGACTTGTCTGTCTGTGGAGAAATGACAGTACGATGCTTCTCCCCATGTGCTCCTTAGAATAAAGAAATGAGGGTTAAAGTGAACCCTCACTGCTCTGAGTGGGTTCTGTCTGAACAGCACCGTGTAAGGGAGGACAGCTCTCGCAGGGTCTCTACCACACCACCAGGCAAACCAAAACAAGGTCCCGGTCACCTCCCGGGGCTAACGGTCCTCCCAGAAGCAGGCTGCCTCACCTTGCTTCCTCAGAGTGGCTGGTGGACTGGAACGACTGACCTTTTGTTTGGCACTGGAGAACTTACCCACTCACTTTCAAAATCCTGTCCCCATAAAGGTGCTTTTTGTTAGTGGTCCCTCATGAAACTGTCCTCTCTCACATCTGGTGGCTAAGTCCCGCTAGCCTGTGGTAGGCCCTGGACTGCCACCACCAGGCACACATCCTCAAGTTTCCCCTGTCCACCCGGGGGGCTGTCCTCCAGGGACCAGGCGAGGTGAAGTCCCATCCAAACGCAGCTGGCTCCACCACCGGCCTCATCATCCCCTGTCCCCTCAGGCCCCACATGGCTTATTCTTTTGAAGACACCACCTCAGTCATTTCCCTTCTCAGAGAGAACAGATTGCTTCCCATGGACACGGAATCAAGTTCAAAGCTCTCTTAAGGCAGCCTCAGTGCGAGGCAAGCCCACTGCCATCGAGACAACGCTGCCTCGGAGTGATGGAGGAGACGCGGGCAGGGCTCTGGGGCTGCACACGCTCTTCACGGGGGAAGACCGCCTGCTTGTTCAAATCACTGACCTTCCAGTTCGCAGGCATGCTTTTAACCACTTCATCATGCACGTAAATCTACTTTCCCGTCTCACCTCCCGCTAAAGTCCACACCCGCCCTCCGTCCCACCCGACTGGAGGGGCCACGCTGGGTCTGGTGACGAGAGCAGGCAAGCTTCTGCAGCGGACACTCAGCGTGACGCCTTCTGTCTCCCCGACAGGCCTAGTGGGGTCACCGGCACCAACCTTGATTTGCTGGTGTTTCTTTTCTGAGTGAGGCATCAGCATGAGACAGGCCAGCGCGAACGCGGGGAGCTCCAGCTGGACGTATTGCCTGGCGACACTGACCATGTCGAGGTCATCGGAAACTGGACACCTTCAGGAGAGCACAGGAGCTCGTTCACAACCTGTCGGGACCCCCGGCTTCCAGCCCACGGCCGTTATGAGAATGCAGAAGTTCTGGCGGCCTCAGGGGGCCACCCCGCATCCCCGCAGGCACGCGGCTTGGACGGAGCCTGCTCGGCGGAGGGTGGCCCCTTATCATCGTTGCTGCGTGTGAGCTCACTGTCCCAGCACTGTGTCCACCCCTCCCCTAGAGCCTCCGCCTCGCCATGGACTCTGAACTTTACACGACGTCCTTCTCGAGGGACTGTCCCTCCTGACGCCAAGCCCAACGGTCGGGAGACGGAGCCTTGTCAGCCTCACTTCAAGGAGCTCTCCGGTGTTCCTGCCCTCTGGGGGCCGGCCAGCGGCGTGGTCAGCAGCCTCTGCCAACGCTGCAATGCCAAGGTGCCAGTCCTCTGGCCTTCTTTACCCACCGCCCAGCCTTCCCACGCACCCAGGCAACCGAAAACCTGCACAGGGCTAGGGACAGATTCTCAGAAAAACGAACATAAAATCTAGGAGACAATTCTGCACTGTGTTTACATCAAAATCCAGTTCTAACCTGAGAGAAAGCTCATTAAATATTTGTATTAGCTTGGTGCCTAGAGGCAAGAAACTGCACTGCAATCTCAAAGGCACGCGGTTCGAGCCCACCGGCTGCTCCACAGGATGGGCAGGCTCCTCCTGTGCAAGTAACTGTCTCTGAAAACCCGTCGGAGGGTCAGCTACGGGTCGGTTCTGACTCTGTAATACTCAACACCAGCACAACACCATACTTAGAAAAGAGAGACTAGAAAAACAAGCAGGAAGCTTCCCCCCCCCCCCCAAGAGCAATTCCTCATTAAGAGAAACTTCTTAGCAGGAATGTTTTATATGCAATGCATCTGTGCACGTTGGTGGCAAAACGAAGACTGCACGTACTCTAGGACAGCACCGAGGCTCTCGCAGCAATCCGTCAACTGGCTGGGACTTAAAGGACAAGAGGCTGCAGAGGAAAGACCAGGAAAGGCACGTAAGTGCTCACCGCCGGGATGCAGTAACACTGGTGTCTCAGAGATCAACAAAGCCAAACTACCTGAGAGCAGAGGGATCTGGATGACGCGTTGCCAGGCTTTGCTGAAGTAGGGGACCTGCGGAGGAAGGTCGGGGCGCTCAGGAACCACAGGCGAGGGCGGGAATGCCTCTGCACCTCACGGGTTCACCACCCTCCACCCCGCTGGAGTCTCCACGCTAACACCGGGATCACAAATCCCTCTCCTCGCTCGAGAACACTAAGTCGCTGGAGTGGTTTTCCTTATAACTCTGTATCTCAGGAACGCCTTACAAAACCCAGGCTGCCTCGTTACTGTTCTAGTTGGCCAAAAGGCTTAAAATCTAACCTAGAAACCACAACTTATACAGGTCCGTTAGGGGTCACACACTATGCTAAGTTTATAAAATGGGGAATAAGAACAAGAGAAGGGCCTGAAGGTCGGGGCAGGGGATTCTCTGGAGGGAGACTGTGAGGGAGGGACAGACGGGCATGCGGGAGCTGAGTGTCCAGGGCCATCGACCGCCTGCGACAGGTCACTGCTCTCCAGTGAGGAGTGGGTAACTCACGCTTCCGTGTCCCAGTCACAAGGCCACGGAATCACAAGTTTAAATTCCAGATGTTTAATTACAAAAAAACCCCACCAAAAAAAAAAATTTCCAGATGTTTCTTTTTAAACCTCACATACCTGCCATAAAGAATGGATGCTGGAAATGGCTGTTAAGACCTTCCTTAGGTAAGGAATCTGGTAAAAATAAAGAAAGAAAGGAGAAAAAGTCATGACAACAGACCTGTCAACACTACCTCTCAGACTCCTCAAGTCCATCACTGTCCGGCGCTGCCCGGCTGACTGACAGCAAACCCCAGGAGTGCCCACACTGGAGCTCTTCACGGGGGCAGAGCCTCGTGGCGGCTTTGAACCAGAGACTTCTCGGTTAACAGTCCAGCACGCAGCACACTATCACCAGCAGAACAAAGTGCACTCAATGAGTAAAGTTAACCTCCAGCAAAACTGTGGGAGAAGTGTGTTGACGGCATTCCGCAGTGATGAATGGAAATGAGGCACACACAGAGGGAGAGGGAGGAGTGCTTACGCTGTGAGGATGGAACCAGCTTCAGGGGACACAGGGTACATGACTTCGTGGAAAGAAAATCAACCTGCTCTGTAAGCTTTCACTCCAATCACAGTAAAAAAATAAAATAAAATTATATCTATATCTATATCTCAAATTCAACAGTATCAAGCCAGAGACCTCGGCCTTTATGTGGGTGTGTGTTTAAGCCATTGGGTGAGAACTCACAGCAGGTTTTTGAAGGCTGTAAATGGAAATCTTTCTTGCTCGGAGCAGCTGGTGGACGTGAACCTGCCTGCCTTCGGGTTGGCAGTGCAGCTCCTTGACACCAAGGCCACCAGAGCTCGCTTTCACAGAGCTAGATTTACCTATTTAGTTGTTGTTGCATCCTGTCATGTCACCGATGCCTCACAGCAACCTTCTCAATGACGGACCAGAAGCGAGACCCGTCCTGTGACCTCCTCACCCTCTGCCAGGCTCAAGTCCACGGCTGGGGTCACTGTCAGTGCACCCCTCGAGGGCAGTCCTCTCTCTCCCCGACCCTCTATCTTTCCCAGTGTGATGTCTAAACCTAACCAAACTGACACACACGGAGAGCTCTGGTGGCCGAGTGGTAAGGAGTTACACTGACAGGCCAAGGGCACGGGGTTCAAATCCACCAGCTGTTCTTCAGGAGAAAGGTAGGAAATCTCTTGCGTGCAATTTACAGCTTCTGAAAACCCACTAGAGGGTCAGGTGTGACGGGGTTCGGGGTCAGCAGCACTGAATCACACACACAGACACACAGGCTTAAAAAAACGACATCAATTGCCCATATGTCATTTTTTTTTCCTTTCTTAGGGAGTTTACAAATCCTATTTGTTTTTCATTCAATCATTCATAGACACTTTGTTTTATAACATTAATAACAGTAATTCATTACAATGTGTATTTAGTCCCTTATTGCCTTTCCCTTCATCCAACTGACATATTAGCTGTTACTTCCCTCTCTTCCTCTCTCCTATTCATCCTGTTAACCCTTCAGGATGGATTCTGTCCGCATGGCCCTCTTTATGATGGTGCGATGTCCTCTGCTGAGCTGGTGCTCTCTCTGGCCTAACAGCTATTTCTTTCAGATTGGGCTGGAGCCTGAGGGCAGTGAGTGTGTGTACACACACAGACACAGACACACAGACACACACAGGCTCAGGTACCAGCCTTAGGGCAAAATACTTGGCCAGCCTGCTGATGCACAGAGAGTGCCCCCCAGTGCGGTCCCCCTGGCACAGAGGGTGCCCCCCAGTGTGGTCTCCCCAGCACAGAGTGGGCCCCCCAGTGCAATCTCCCCGGCACAGAGCGTGCCCCCCAGCGCGGTCTACCTTACCATGTTGAAGCCCAGAAGCTTCTGCAAGAGCCCGTTCCACAGCTGCAGGTCGTAGACTTTGTACTCTAAACACAGTTCTGTCACCAACTTGACCTCCTGAAGGAAGAGAGAAAAAGACACCGCTCTGAGCCATCAGTAAGTCAAACCCCTTTCTGAAGCGGGGAGTGCGGGTGGCGCTGTGGGCTGAGGGGCAGGCTGCTAGCTGAAAGGCCAGCAGTGTGAAACGATCCCCACGGCAGGGATGAGGCAGCCTGCTCCCAGAGTCACAACTGTGAGTGAGAAGTGAACGGCAGGAGGCTTCGGAGGCAGGGGGCCTGATAAAAGGCGAGCAGGTCTGTATAAACATGCTGTCTCCACTGCCTAACTTTCATCAAGGTCAAGGTGGGGAGACTGTTTTTCATCTCGTCTCCGTGGGCTCACAGGAGCACCTCAGTCTCGGGCGTTAAGGAGGAGCGAGAAGGGGCCTCGTCCACCACCCAGGTCGAGAGCAGACCTGTGCGGAAACACTGCGCCTCTGCAGTCTGTCTGTCTGTCGGAGAGCTGAGCGCGGTGGCGGGCGGCTGAACGGACAAATGGAAAGCGCACTGACGAGGATGATGGTCAGTGTGGGGAGGCTGGGGAGACACGCACCATGGCTTCGTGGCTGTGGTTCTTCCACAGACCTTTGATCATTCCTTCCTTAGGGCTGTTGCAAAAGAGCTCATATGTGATGGGGATGTTCAGGGCCTCAAACGACGCCAGAAAGCTGATGGATTTCAAATACGACCTGGAAGACAAGCACAGGCACTGACTGGAACGGCTGCCTAGGCCACGTGCATTTATCTTCAGTAACACAGACGCCAACAGATGGGACTATCAGGACAGTGTGTTCCTCAAAGTCCACTCTGGGTTCCTAAATATTGAATATTGTATTAGAAGGAAATGAATTTGTACATGAGAAAAGGAAAATGTTCTCAATGTCCCTAAGAAATAGCAAAAGCAAGCTATTCCCATGTCTACCTCCTGTGTACCAGAAAGCCGAGGACATGGAGGCCAGTTCAGAAGGCTGGCCAGTCCACACGCACTCCCTGAGCTCTGCACCCCGCAGACAGGCCGCTTTGACAGGCTCAGGGTCGGTGCTAATCTCAAGCCCATCAAGCCTGTCCCAACTGCACTGCCCCCTCCATGCCCATATCACATTCCGGCCGTTCTCACAGGTTCTTGGTATCCCATCAGGCCTCTGCACACCGGGAAAGGCAAGGGCCTGGACTTATCTCTACGGGGGCTGGAAACAGTCAATTTGAGACCGGCCTGGGCTCAGACTCACCAATGCCCCTCGTATGAACGCAAAGGCTTCTGAGTTATGTTTCTCCACGATGACGTTTCTTACTTCTTAGTTATAAAATAGGAATCACCACCGCAGTTTCATTGCCACCAGTACCACTAGGTGCAGTGGGCATTTTCTGGGCATTTGAATGGATGTTTTAAAATGCTACTCACTTCACCTCCTCGATCGGCTTTTTGAAGAGAGACTCCACGATCTGCGTGTTGGCCAGGAGCAGGAGACACTGCAGCGCCCGGGTCCGGTGGGCATAGGTGAGCTGCCAGGTGCCTAATTTCTGCAAGATGAGGGAGGTGTGGAGACAGGTCCTGCTGTCGTGAGGGGTGGCGATGTGAGGTGCTAACGTGGCTCACACACGGCATGGAGTCTGAGTGCACGGAGACCTTTCTGCCCTCAAGAACCAAGGGACAGAACAGCAGTTCTCGCAGCCGGACCCTGACCCCGCGTGTGCACGGTGCTGAGGTGGAGGAACCTGGTGGTTCTTTGGGGTGGGGGGGACTTTCACCTTTATAATAAAAGCACCAGTTTGCCCTCAAGCCAGTCCTGACTCGGGCAGCCCCACGTGGGCCTGAGCACAAGTGGGCTCCACTGTTTCCAAAGGCTGAGTTTTAGGAAACTGATCCCCAGAACTTGTTCCCCAAGGTGCCTCTGGGTGGACTCGAACTTCCAAACTTTAGGTTAGCAGTTGAGCACGTCAGTCATCTGCACCACTGTGGGGCATGACAATACTGAGGTGCACTTTCCTTTTTGAGGTCTGTGTCTGCAGAAGCTGGGGGCACCTCAGCACCGATCGGGGCTGTGGGGACCACGTGCCGCAGCAGCCACGGACCACAGCCTTCACCCCTGCGTACACACAGACCACCCGAGTCTCGGACAGCGCTCCACTGGACAATGCTGCTGATGAAGCAGCACGTGCCAACTTCATAAAACGTCAGCCCTTGAGTCTGTGTGATTCCAACGTGAACTCACACACGACGGCGCACTTGGACGCAGGTTAACAGTAATTCACTGAGGTATCCTATTAGGGACCTGAAACACACATTAAGCACCAACTTGCTATTAACTTGATGGCACGGGGTCTTTTGCTTCAGGCACCAGACAGAGGAGCCCTGGTGGTGCAGCCAGTGAGCGCCCAGACAGGAGAAGACAAAGCTGCCGTCTGCAGCCTTGGGGGGAGGCAGCCTGCAGCTTACGGGAGCCCATGGGGCCCCGGTGGGGGAATTCTGTCCATCACAGGCTGAGGGGTACCATGGGCTGGGCACTGCAGGACCACGGCTTCCACAAGGGAAAGCATGTGCGGGGCATTCTGAGCTGTGACCCACACCGGTCCCTTCTCGTGAATTCCTCGGCGGGAAGTGAGCGGAGCCCAGAGGGAAGCATGTTTGCAAGGTCTGAGGAGGACGGAGGAAAGGGCTGTGTGAAGGGGGACTTCCAGGAGATGTGAACAAGTGTGCAAAGGGGCAAGAGGGGTCCTCCTTCAGGGGAGCCCCAGGATTGAGCGTGGCTAGTTTAGAAGGTGGGGTGGGCGATGTAAGGTCAGTGTGTCTGGCTGGCTTAGGAATGCTGACCGCCCTCGCACGGTGGGGGCGGCACCTATGAATGCAGGTAAGCTGCGGGATTGTACACAGGTGGACCGTGCCACCTGTCAAGCAGGACGCCACGGGAGTGTGGCACGGGACAACTCATGCTTATGCACGGAGGGTTACGTTAAAGGACGGAGACAAGCACTGTTATCTTAGTCGGCTCTTACGAAAACCCGGCACAGCAAACATGCAGGAGACAAGAAAAGAGAGAGAACGAGAAGCCTGGGCCATGTGTCTAGGACTTACGCTTGTAGTGGATGTTGCAACCACAAACAGCATTCTTGAGGTATAGTCAATGGGACGAGACATAAGCAGATACAGAACTCTGAGGGAGGGAAAAAAGAAACAGCATTTATTCTTATTTTTTTTTTAAAAAAGAAAAAAAATTCCTTCATTAGTATACAATTCCCACGTCCCTTCCCCCCACGCCCCACCCCGAGTACACTTCTCTATGCAACCTGAATTCTGGATTCCTGTGCTAACCATAATACTCAATCATATATCACTTCTAATCTGTTCTTTCCCTCATCAAAACAGCATTTATTTTAAGAAGGGCAATGGAAAGATCTTGAAATGCTTCATGGGCATGAGGGTGTGAAAAGATTCTGATACCATTAAATTCTACACACAAACATCAGGGAAAGAGCAAACACTTCATTATCTAGGTACTGAAAACAGTAAAAATCATAGTAACAAGAGGAAACGTACACTTAAGTTTTATTTCAGTGATTCAGTGCCAGAGAAACACGCCTGCTTTATTATCCCCATAAAAAGGCGTTGGTTGTTGATGGGAGGTACCTTCATGTCAAGCACGGCTCACAGCAACATTGATCAACAGATGTGAACCCTGTCCTATCCGGTGCCAACCTCACAATCTCTGGCACACTCGCGCCCACTGCTGCAGTCAGTGTCAATGCACCTGGCTGAGGGGCTCTCTCTTCTGTCGACCTTCCCATGTATGATGTCCCTCTCCAAAGAATAGGCTCTCCTAGCAACATGCCCAAAGCATGAGACATGAAGCTTCATCAACTTTGCATACAAGGAGGACATCATCTCCAAAATGTATGTTTATTCTTTTTTTTTTTGTATGTTTATTCTTTTGACAGTCCCTGGATATTCAATATTCTTCTCCTTCAAAGGCATCAATTCTCCTACTGTCATCCTTATTCATTGTACAGCTCTCAGATGCAGGTAATCAAAAAGACCATGGCCTGGAACAGGTGCACCTTAGTCCTCAAACTGACATCATTGCTCCTCAATAATGTGGAGCGGTCCCTGACTACAGAGTTTTCCAGTTCAATACCTCACCTGCTCGCCTGACTACTGCTGGTACCATGGGTATTGATTGTGGATCCAAGAATGTTAACACTCTCAGTCTCTTCTCCCTCTATCATAATGTTGCCTATTGGTCCACTGGTGAAGACTTTTGTTTTCCTGACATTGGGATGCAATCCACATTGAAGACTGCAGTGTTTAATCTTCTGGAGCAAGTGCTACCAATTCTTCCCTTTAGCAAGTCAGGTTGTCATCCACATAACAGAAGTTACTGAAGAGTCTTCCTCCAATCCTGACCAACGTCAGCGACCTTCTTTGCCTTCCCGTGAGAAGAGGCATGCTCTTTTCCTTAGAGCCTGGCGGGTACAGCAGTTAGGCTCGTGGCTGCGAATCTACCCGTCGGTCCTCAAGACAAAGTCCTGCAGATCGATTTCTACAGCCAGGAGAGCGCCCTGGAATTGACTTGATGACCCTACCAACAAGGGAACCACTTTCTTTTCTTCATAGTTAACCCCAAACCACCATCATCTGGTCTACTGCCGGGTGGGGGTGGTTACAACAGCGTTTCTATGCTTGTAAGTCATTATAGAAGCACACTGCCTCCTCGTTCTCCCAAGCGGCTGGTGGATTTGAACTGCCGACTTTGCGGTTAGCAGAGCTAACACCTAATCCCCCACATCACCTGGGCTCCTTCCACAGCTGAAGGAGGATGACTGATACAATAAATGCAGGCCTTGCCTCCTCTATCAATCCCTGTCGGCACCTCTCTGTTTAGGTGAATGCACACCACTGCTTTAAGGCTCGCGTCACCACACGGGAATCCTGTGCCCTAACACACCGGGCCTCATGGGCAGCAGCACATTTTAAGCTCCACACTCAGGGTGGGCTGGCCCCTGCCAGAGGGGTGCGGACAGATCAGGCCGAACAGAGGAAAAAGGCAGGAAAACTTGGCATGAAGATTGTGGGACTTCCATCTTCCACTGCGTCCCCTACACCCACCCTTGAGTTGCTTCTAAGATCTTCTATGTGGTAGGGTCACTCCGACCCCAGGGGCCGACTCCTGCTTGCACAAAGGCACTCCTGCCCTTACCAGCAGGGGGGGATGCGGAGGAGGGTAAGTATGGAGTGAGTGGCTCCGTCTGGCTGCTGGAGTCACAGCTCTGTCCCAAACCAGGAAAATCATTTTCTTTTCTTGGTTTGTTCTCTTCAAGGCTCCTCTCACAATCAGATCTTCAAGGTTAAGAAAGGGTACACGGCCTCTAAGGTCCCCGGGGCCAGAATGCAAAAAAGCTGGCAAGCATCGCCATTCCCTCGTCCGTGCCAGACATCCTTAGGGGATTAAACGGAAACTCAAGGCTACAGAGTCCACGCTGACGCTCCAGGGCGGGTGTCAGAGGGTGCAGATCACACAGCACTATCCGGCCTTCCCTCTTGGAGCTGCTGCGGGATTCAAACCGACCGCTTTGAGGTTAGCAGCATGACTCTCTACAGACTATGCCACCAGCACCCCTCCATCAGTGGATCGGCAAGCATATTAGTGATCTCCATCCTCTCCGATTTGGGCCAAGATCCCAGCAGAGCAAGGCCTGAACTAATTAGACATGGTGCATTAGATAAAACCAGCGGGACTTCTCTGGGTCTCAGTCTTGGGTTTGGCGAGCAACAGGAATCGTAGCGGCTCACTAGCTGTGAGAACCCAGGTAACAAGGTAACCATGGTGGAGTGTTGAGGGGACCCCCGCCCCCACCATAAGCCTGGGCCTGGCTGGCTCGCGTTGTCTCCACGGGAGAAAAGGGTACTCGCAGGCACGAGTCGGCACTTCTCAGAGACACAAGGTACGTCAAGAAAGTCTTCTAAAGACCAACGCGGATAAATTTATTCCCAAGAGGCCCCTGAGAACCAGCTTGTACGTAAATCTTAGAGAAGGGAAATGTGAGTACCTTCTCAGGGTGTCATCTTCCTGAAGTTCAAATAATTCTGATGGTTTCTAAGAGAAAGTGGAAAAAAAACAACAAAAAAAAACAAAGTCAAATATGAGGACAGTTTGTAAGTATACGAGCTTATAAAACTGATTAGATGAACAGTCCAGCGTACAAAACTTCTTTTTCCATCAAATGAATTAACGTCTTGGGGAAAAGTTTTGTGCTTTTCCTTTGGCCCTAGATGAGTTTACTCAAATCCACTGACTCAACAGACATTTGCCAAGCACTGTGCGTCAAGAAGCCCTGGTGACACAGCGCGTTGCTAACCAAGGGTCAGTGGTTCGAAGTCACCAGCTGCTCTGAGGTAGCAAAGGGGGCGTTTAAGCTTGTGGGCTGAGAAATCCAATGTGGGGTGACCAGGAGTCGGAAGCACCTCCCCGGCATGGGTTTGGCTTTGGCTTCAGACTGTACCTGGGGCATAATTCCAGGTAGAGGGGCTGCCTGAGTTTGCAAGACAAAGATTCCAGCATTCACAGAGCTGAGAGTCATCAAGTCATTTTTAAAAGGATAGGACTCCATGAACCTGAGATCAGTCAGTCACGAACTCAGAACTCAGCAGGTAGTTATTTGAGTTGTTACACAACCAGGCTTGTAACACACACACACACACACACACAGAGAGAGAGAAAAGGGGCAGCGGCTTGACCCCATCGGTCACTGTGTAGGAGTGAGATGACCAGTCTCCTCCATCAGATCAGACCACAGCCTCAGAGCCTCGATGGTTGGTGAGACCTCACTCACAGCTGGATTGGTCTGTTGGGGTTTTTACCCCCAAAATATTAGAGATCGTCTCTGACTTAATGAAGCCAGCTGCCCTGGTGAGTGCACATTTTTGGGGCTTTGGATGCATCATTAGTAACATGGACAACAGACGCACCACAGCACGTCATCTGCTGTTATCACTCTCTCGCGAACCCTAAAAGACAAAGTTGTCTCTATAAAGATACTGGTCATGAAAGGGAACAAGGAGAATGGGGCCAGGGAGGGAAGTCAGGAGTTGCAGTCACATCGGAACCCACTTAAGTCATCAGAAAGAAGCACCACGTCAAGTTGGGGTAACTTGTTCACTGGACGAGTGACAAAGTATTAGGTCCAAACCCCCAAGCCCACGGCCGTCAACGTGGAGGCTGGCGCCCAGGGTCCGCACAGCCAGCAGAACCGGCCCGGGGCTTCACCAACCTGTGGGCTAGCAGGTGAGTGCTTTAACCACGATGCTACCAGGATCCGTAAAGGGAAAAAAAAATCCCTGAAAAGGCCAACCTTAAAATTGGTAAATCTGGCCAAAGGTTCACAGGATGTCTGTGACCGGACTCTTGCCTTTTTTGTTAGGTAAGCTGACCAAAAACCTCATGAGGTGACGGCAGCATGAGGATGTGCAGGAGGGCCTGGGCGTGTAACCGAGGGGTGCGGGCGGCGGTCCTGGGGCACGGGTACTCACCTCACCAGGCTTGATCGGCGGACACAGCCATTTTTCCAACAGCATGTCCCAGACTTTTTCCAAGTTCAGGTTATTGACTTCAGCGATTTCTTTAGCTGCGGCGTGAATATCTACGGTGTTCAAGGTAAAGAATTAAGACGAGAGAGAGAGACAGGCGCGAGCTTTGCCAGAGGGCTACGTGAGGGCCCGTGACAGGAGGTGGCCCCTGGCCTCACCGGGGTGCTGTCTGCTGGAGGCGTCCTGGGTTCGCTGGCTGATGCTGGGGTGCTCGTACAGGGTGACGATGAGGTGGGTGGGCTTCCCGATGGCCCGCAGGTACTCGCCGGTGTTCAGCTTGTGGGCAATGAGCACGGCCTCCGTGCCCGAGCGGCAGTACTGCAGGTGAAGCTTCTTCATCAGCGCCTCGGCTTTGTCCCGCGCTTTGTCCTTTGAGGAAAAGCCCCAAGCAAAAGAAAACCTTGTCACAGAGCCTCAGCTGGGCGCAGCCTCCATGCCCCTCAGTGAGGCCAGTCCCTCCTCCCTTCTCCTTAATACAGGGACGCCCATGCGGCGCCCACCACCAGGGGCAGGATGGGCAAAGACAGGGCAAAGGGGCCGCTTCCTCCGCCCAGACCCACCTGGGACGGGAGGTTCCGCAGCCACCTCTCAGCCAGATAAAGACAGAATTTCAAACTGGACATTTTGAAGGAACCTGATTTCAAGACACAAAAGCAAATCTCAGTTCTTCCAGGATCATACGCTTCGGTCCCTTCGTGCTGCTGTGTACCAGTGAGTGGGCAGCGACCAGGAGCTGACCGCCCGGCCGGCCTGCAGAGTCGCACAGGAGGAGCCTGTCCACTCTGTGCCTGCAGAGCGGCTGGTGGATTCGAGTCACGTATCTTTGTGCCGGGAGCGTGATTCCTCACCACTCGGGCACCAGAGCCCCCCAGAGTCGCTCAGTTTTAATCCAACATCAGTAATAGAATCTCCAGCTTGCCTACAACTTCCCCACGGTTTGCTGTTTTCCGTCCTATGACGGTCCTCCTAGTATCTGTGAGTGGGATCACGGTGGGTTTGACTTTGAGCTTGCACTTGGACTCAGATGGGACAACAGCACACACACTGTTGCACAATTTGCTCTTCTGCCTGCCTGTATCTCGTGGGTCAATTGTACAACCAGCTACATAGAGTAGGAATCCCCATCTTACTCAAACGGCTTTCTGCCTTCTATTTAAATAGCTGGTTCTAACTTCGGTTACAATGAAAAAGGCGGCAATCCATGGCCGAGTGCGTGCACTCGTTTGACCACTGAGGCTACGCAGGGATGCTTCACTCCGAGGGCCGCAGGCGGGAGTGAGGAAACGTGCTGACACCGAGTCCTGCTCACGCTGCATGGACCCCCGGACACCAGGCGAGGGGCCCAGAGTGCTCGTGCGCCCAAGGAAGGCTGCCCCGCTCTCCTTCCTCCCAGGCGCTCGTCACGGCTGCCGGAGCGCTGGTGGCACCGCGTGCCTGCACAGACGCTGCCGGTTAACCCGACGGAGGCTCGACTCCACCAGCAGATCCCAGGCGACGGCACTGAGGGGGCGCGTGTCAGAGCAGAACCGTGCCCCACGGGCCTGCCAGGCCCACCCTCGGGGAGGAGACAGCCAGGCCTTTCTGCCCGCGTGCCTCTCGGCTGAGCTGTACTTCCAGCCTTTAGGTGAGCAGCGTCAGTGTTGTCTTTTGCATCATCCAGGGCCCAGGTCAGGTTTAAAACTGTTATTATTACGGAATGCTAAAGCCCACCCGCCACCATCGTGAGGCCATTAAAGAACGCAGACCTTCCGGAATGTCCTGAGAGATGCTGATGGCGATGGCGACCGCCCACTCGGGGTTCGTGATGGACAGCAGGTAGGACTCGATGGTCTGCGTGGCCTTGCTCACCTCCCTGGTCAGCAGGCTGCAGGGCTTCCCGGGCGCCAGCTTCAGCAGCTTGGGCTTCAGCTTCTTCTCAAAGACCTGCTTGGCTGTGGACACATACAGAGTGTCCAGGGAAAACTGTCAGGAGACAAAAACGTGAGGCTGGTTTCCAAGTTCAACTTCAAGGGCTTTACAAGGAAACACCTGTAGGTGTTCCTAAATGTTATTCATTTAATAGCAATATACTTTAGTATTCTATTATTATTAATACAGTTATTGTGTTACTAATAGAATTATTACACTAATACCTTTACTTCCTATGAAAACAGGATTGTTTTCGTTAACTATTCATTAACTATCATGTGATAATCATTATAATTAAAATGTATTCTGTTTCCCAATTATTAATTATAATCACTATAGTTGTAATTAAGAAATTTTTATTTAAGAGAAAGCAAGAAGAGAGGAGTAAAAACCAATTTTTTTAAAAATGATAAAACATCAGTAAAATAAGCAGATAACTCAATGGTTAAAAAGAAGATCTAGGAAGAGCACAAGTCCAATAAGTGCAGACTGAGAACGGAACATACATAGAAAATATCTTCATGTTTTCAGTAAACACGCTATCACCTGGTATTAGCATTCCAATCAGTAAGAAAAACACTATTATTAATTACAATTTAACTCTAAATGAAACGGAGGCCAGACCCAGTTTTAACCTTAAATTACCTTCATTAATTTGGAAATGAGGAGGAGTGTGGGGAAGGACTCTTCACTGAGTTCTGCAGCTAGAAGGGAAACAAGGAGAGCAGGATTTAAGAGGGAAAAAACCCCCAACAAAATGGGACTTAAAAAAACACTTAAGAAGTTGACGAACATACAGAGAATTTTCCAGAAGTTCTGTGCTGTGCCGAAGAATATCAAGTGGAAAGGCAGTCTGCTGTGGGCAGCCGACGGGAGGGTTATCACATGCTCCAGCATGTACTGATACTCCATCTCCACTGGAGGGGAAATTCTTCTGTATGACTTCAAGTGTTTGAGAAGATTCAACGCCTGTGTGAAAACAGAAGGCATTCTCCTGGGATTCACCCCCAGCACCACTGTCACAAAACCGCCTAACTCCACACCCTCACGGCTGGGACTCCTCTGAGCCTTTTCCCTTTGATGTTCATAGTGTGCTGCGTGCTGAGTTGCTAACAGAAAGGTCGGCAGTTCCAACCTATCAGCCGCTCTGCGGGTGGAAGACGAGGCTGTCTGTGCCTGTAAGGTTTACAGCCTGGCAGACCCAGTGGTTTGGGCTTGAGGGAAATCATACCCAGTGAAACCAACCCCTGGTGAAATGAAACTGCTGCAATGTTTGGTAGCGAGCTTGGCAGTTTTCTGAGCACCTCAGACAGCTTTAAAAGACCATTTCACTTTAGACACAGAGGCTGCCGATCTAAAAATAAAAGTTACAAACTTGAAAGCAAAAAACCACACCAAACAAAAACCTATAAACTTGAAAGTTCATGTTGTAGACGCGTAAGTCCCTTGTGGTCCTATTTTATATTGTGAAGGTAGCCTCATCTTTTGAATCAATTAATTGTCTTTAAATCCCCTCTCGTGCTTCTGGTGACCACGGCAAGCCAGGGTCTCACTGTCTCCAGCTGGGTGGTGACACAGGTTCGACTTTCCTCGTGTCAACAGTTTCACCACTTCCCTTCTGGTTGTTCTTCTCCAATTACGTGGCGTCCATGACGCTGACCATTTGACATTAGGGAATTTTTTTTTAAAGCAGCACAAGAAAGATACTGTTTATTAATGAGTCAATCTGTTATTTAGCTGACAGGTGACCTCAGGGAGTGGTTTCAAAGTTCAAAGGCCAACGTTTTGGGCTTCTTCTACTGGTCTACAACGTTTTGG